AGTTAAATGACTTTTTTAACTAAATTTTAAGGGAAAGAAAGAAAAAAAGGCGAGGACCACTGGACAAAAGTGAGGAAGACAAATTGGGACAGATCTCGGACCAAACAGGGAACGAAAGTGATAGTAAATCATCGGATAGAAGCAGAGGTGTCGGCCTCGGCAGGACGATATTCTCTGAAATGCAGCGTCTAGGAAAGAAAGGCCGCCTTCAGGAATCTTCAGACGAGTTAAGCGATAGAAAGCGACGCTTTTCAGAACGAGTTTTGACAGGGCTAGATCAGCAAATTATTTCATACAGTTCCAGTCTTAAGACAGACAAACGCAGCCGGAGACCGGAGCGCAGACGCAAAAAGCATACTCGGCCACCTTCTACTGCTCTGGCTCGAAAGGTCGCCTCCGAGTTAACCAAAAGTGGGGCACTAGCTAAAACGCTGATAACATACGCACTTACTCAGTCCTGGGGCCCCGAGAAGATTAAAGAATCCATGCAGGAAGTGGCCATTTCAGGTAACCTTAGGGAAAATCAGTTGTCCAGATGGAGTAATGTGCTCGCGAAGACGATGGATCGACGTGAGGATCTCGCCAAATTTATTTATTCAGACGATTTACATGCTCTGCTCAAACGCTACCCGAGCCTGGGCCGAGTCACATGCCTTCTCTCCAGCCTCTGTCGTCAGCTGGCGCAACATTCTGAGGTAACCGCACGACCGGCAGTATTGCCGGGGCATCGGATGCCCCTGACCATGCAGCCTTCCGTCTCCATGACAAACCCGATCATCGCCAAGGGGATTGTCGAGTGTTTGGACGCCGAGCTGGGCAACAGGCCGGGCGATACTGGTCTTCTCTCCAATCTCAGTCAGTTTGCCGAGCGAGCACAGCTATCAGGCAGGCAGGTGGAGAACATGCTGGAACTCCTTCGTGGCGCTCACACTGACTACGAGACATTGCGTCGAGTTGAAGGTGCTCCAAAGCGGATTGCTCGATTGCAGAACCTTTGTGCTCGGCCGAACATCATCTATCGAGGCCTGCTTGACGACACAGCAAAGCGCTGGGGCCGAGTGCAATTGGAAGCACTGAAGTTCGTCTGTAACGGTCGACTTACACATGCGATTATGGAGGCGAAGCTTCAGAAAACCCCGACATATCGGGCCATGATGACTGCGTTGAGTCATCCAAATCTTCAGTTGGATGAAGAATTACTGATCAGGATGAATGAAGCGGAATTCGAGCCGTCAGCCAAGCTATGCAAGGCTTGGTCTGAGGTGCGTCGCCATTTAATCGCCCTTCTTATGGAGATCCGTGAGAAAGAGGGAGGTCTGCCAGACCCTTCGCTAATACAAATGACCACTCTGGATCGTTGTGAAGGCATAAAGGGCAAGGTGGCCCGAATGTTCGAACTATACCGTCAAGTGGCTGATGCGGATGAGCTTACGGGCTCCGATAGCTCAGGCTCCGATCAAGCTAAGCAGATGGCAGCTAATCCACTTCTGTGTGAACTACGCAGCCAGGTGACACAACGTCTCGAACAGGTGGGTGGCAGGTCATCAGAGTTGCCGGAGCACTGGAAAGCCATCCGAGCTTTTCTCACAGTGTACGACAGGAAAGAAATCAATCTCACAAATCTGACGGAATTTGGTGGAAAACGGTAAGTAAAAGAAGAGAAACTTAAATATAATCTCTTTTCAAAACCTTTATACTTTATCGAATTGCTGAAAAAGAGCAAAACTATTACTAAAATTACATATTAGATGAATTCATCTTATTTGGTTAAAGTGATAAAGGACTGGTAGTTGAATTTTTCCACAACGATATGAGTAAACCTTACGTTTCAATTGAGTTTCACATACATTTACAAAAGAAGGCCAGGCTTTATGCAATATCACATTCTGTGGTAAGATCCTAGGTGAAGCAAAATTGTGTTTGCTATAGCAATAGACTGAACTACTTATTTTTCGTTGTTAAGTAGGTTTTTTGAGACTACCAGTATGTATACACCACACTTAGTTTAGCCTTGCTTTCAGATAGCAAGGTAGTCGTCAATAGATCTAATCAACAGCTTAGAAACTAGATATGCTTCTTACATTAATCTAACCATAAATTGAGCCATGTAGTTGTTCGCCAAAATACATACTTATAAACGAAAAATAAGTAATTTAATAGATTGCTATGGCGCAAATAACTGTGATTCATCGACAATCCTATAAAAAGATGTAATATGGCATTTTCTATATATAGGTGCCTACTCATCTTCGTTTTTTTGTTTTGAGTATATATATATAAGAGGTAAGATACAGCCAGATAATTATATTGACTTGGTGTTTGTAAACATGATACTCTTAAACGAATTATTTCCAGCTCTTATGATGTCCATAACCTTATTGACGGAAGTCCAGCCAGTTTTCACTCGAAACGATGTAGTATGTATCCTGGATTGCGCCAACCGGAATTTCATTTTAAAGCTAAAAGGCTGGTGAGACCGACCTCCGTGTCCCTTCTTATGCACTTTCTTACGAAATGAAGTTTCCTTAGCAATCTTTATTGGGGCCTATGCACCAAAAAACATTTGCAACAGTAGAAGCATAATACGTTGTATGACATTTTGCACAGTTGGTTGTTAAAGCAACAGGTGATGATGCTTTCCTTATAAAAGATCTTAGCAATTCAATATTTTTTGATAACAGCTTTATTAAGCCTTTTCACTGCGATTAAATCAATTTTAATTATAGGTTATAATCACTTGGAATATTACAATTTTATATTGTAAGACATTTTCACGAAACGAATAATTCCTGCTAATAACGACCTGTCTATATTTCTGCTTCTGCTCACTTGACTACAGCTACTTGAGTAGCGATCTGGCTTTCATCAATTGTGCAGCCCAACTCTGGGTTGACGAGGAGATAGAGAAGACGGTAGACGAACTGATCTTAAGCCAGCCAGAGCTTCCAACTCCACCAGCTCTTGGGATTCTTGATCTGCTCATCGACACTCACAAAATGACTAGTTTTCAACGTCAACCCTTCTGGCAGGTAATAAATGAAGAAGAAATGGCTGCCCTCGCCGCAGCTCATTCTTCTGTAGCCTCATCCATTTCTGCGGCTATGCCGCCCACAATACCCGGTGTTCCTGGTCCGTTGACCTTCGGTCTATCACCAGCACGCAAGGCGG